TAAGTTAGTCCACTGACTGCGAGTCGTTGACTTCAAGGTTTCAGCTTATGCACACTCACTTCCTAAATACATACGAAAATTTTATAACAAGCATTAATTTTGGTTAATAACTTTATAAGGGAAACTAATGCACGACCTAGCCCGGCTTACACACATAAGCATATCAAACACTTATGCACGCATCCGCTTCTGCCATCTCTCCCCGCCCAAACACTCGCAAACTCATATGGACAAACTTCAGCTTACCATTTTTCACACAATGTTTGAGGCAACGCCTAAGACCAGGGACTAACATAAGACAGTGGGCCAACCATAGCCGTTAGGCATAAAATAGAATTGAAATAACCATACGATAAGCTCAATTTGTGCGCAGCTTTAGGGGCGCATTAGCCATACATAAAGCAAAGATAGCCACCATATAAACAGGCGCTGTATCTATATGTTTGCCAGTGTGTGTGTGTGTGTGTGAGTGTGTGTGTGAGTGTGTAAGTTCGTTGATGTGTGCGTCACTTCCGCTTGTAATTGTAGTTACAATGTCACAATCACTAGACCATATAAACGCAGGCAAACAACACTGGAGGAGGAGGAGAAAGAAGACAACATACACACATACAAACATTGAGGCGTAAACAACTCACGCAAACACACACACACACTCACATGCATGCTGGTCCTGGTCCTGGTCCTCCTGCTGGCTTGTGTGTGCGCTTTTAAGTGGCACAACTCGCCCACTTGGGCGCTTTATTAGCAAAGTGAAACTTAGACAATGCCCTGACAGCCTTAGTCTCAGCCTCTGCTACAGTCTCGTTCTCGTTCTCATTCGCATTCGCATTCTCGTTCTCATTTTCGATGCTCGCAGTTGCCACTTTGCAAGTAGCCTTAGCCACATACACGCACAGGCAAGCGAAACTCTCAGCCACAGCATTGCCTTGGTAATATTTACAAGTCACTTGTTTTTATGCCTACATTAATTATGCGCGCTTTTGCCTTTTGCCTTTGGTTTCTGGTAACTTTCGGTTTGTCTTTGATTTTGATGCCGTCGCCACAATTCCTCGCAGGCTTTGGCTTTTGGTTACGCTCGGCTCGGCTTAGCTCTCTGCGGTTCTTATTTCTTTGCTCTTCATTTCGTTTTGTTTTTTGGTTTCATTTTTTTTTTTTTTTTGTTTTTCTCGCTTTTTTGCTGTCATCGCAGCTCCACCCACTTCACTCACACACTTGATCTGGCCATATTTTTCTTGTTTTTAAAGCCCGGGCTTGTGTATACCTCAATAAATTTTGGCACTCGTGCAGTAGAATGTGATGGTGTTGACGTTGGAAACTCCCCAACTTAATTGGAATTTAATTCAAGTTTGTCGTTTCTGGTGCTGCTGCTGATGCAGCTGCTGCTGCTGCTGCTTGTATTACGCAGCTCTTTGCTCACAAATGTCGGCCAGGTCGAGCTGTATTAACTGACCCAGTTGAGCTCTGCCCATTGCTTTCTCAGCCCTCAACCCCTGCACGAGTGCCGTTTAATGGGATTATTGCGCAGTGAAACGGATAATGCGTCAGCCTCGACACTCTCAGCCTTTTGCTACTTTGCTTTGAGGCAAGTAATTCCAGTTCCAGTCAGTGCCACGGCCTTGCTTGCAAATGCACTTTTTGGCGTACGCTGCGTATGCGTAATATGTGAACCTTATCTGGGCAAGTGTATATCTAGTATGCTTCCTCAATAGTTTTATTGATACTAACGATGTTTTCTGATAGCCTCTATCAATTTATTTGTCCACTTATGATTTCAAATCGTTTATTTCAATTTTTACATTTTTCTCACAATGTTTTTGAAGAGTTACTTCTAAGGTTTTACTTAGCATGAAAGTATTTCAGTCAATCCCCCGATTTCTCGTCTCACCATGAACAAAAAAATAAATAATATAAAAAAATTGAATGTATTAAACAATCCGTCTTACATTTTAAACAATGTTTTCGCTAACTCTGTGAATAGAATTTTTTTTTGGCTCATAGATGACCCCATAATAATTGATTGCAGTTCGATAGAGGTTTGTTATGAGCCCATCTTCTTGAAAATTCTGAAGAACCTTTTTTGTTAAACTAATGTGGAAAAAAATGAATTTAAAAGTTTACAAGAGGGTTGGTCAGAAAACTGAGAAAAAAACGGTTTTGGTTTTTTTTTTGTTATTCTCTGATGATTTCCTTAAACCATTATTTGCGGCTGCGCTTCTCCAAACACTTCAATGATTCTTTTCATTTTCTGTTTACCAACTTGACAGTGCATTTGCATTGCCATGTCCCATTGCATTTTTTTTCGAAGTTTTACTCATCTGCATATTTCCCCTTTTTTAATTAAAAACGCATTTATTAATTTTTATTAAATTCTTCAGTTTAATGGGTTTTTATTTGGTTTCATTTTATTTTATGCTTTTTACAGTATGCTTTGTGTTTTTTTATTTTAATTATTTAATTTTCTTAGAAATTAATTTTTTAGCTTACTGTCATGTATTTTTGTTTTTTTTTTTTTTTTCAATGTGTTCTCTCTCAATTATTAATGCTCATTGTTGCTTAAATGTTTTGTTGCCGTTAGTGACGTTTAATATTTATTTATTCATAAACGCTTTTCATTACGTAATGCTAACTTAATGTGTAATTTTTATTTATACAGCTAAAATAGTTTTTTGTAAATTATGTGTGTATTTTTAAAATGTATTTTGCATATGCCTGCTAGCATATTCCTTGTTGAATATTTGTTTTTGTTTGTATATTAGATTCAGTTTCTCATTTGGTATGCTAAAATTTTTTCTTTGTTTATGTTTTGTTTCTGCTTTTTGCTTTTTGCTTTTCGGTAATCATTTTCATTTTCGGTGCATTTTGCCAACTAACTCACTTGGTGAAATTAAAACTAAATAATTTGCTAGATAAGCAAGGGTAAATGTGTATCTGTGTACAATGTTACAGCTAATGATTTACTATAATTATTCCATTTACAATATTCAGTAGTGTGCTTACATGATTGCTTCTGCATTCTAAACTGTTGTATGCAGTTTCAAATTTTTCCTTTTATTTCTATATACTTGTTTTAGTTTTTACAACAATTGAAATTTGCCATTCTTTCGCTCAACTTTTCACCTTCATCGTTTCAAGTTTCATTCTTGAATTATGATATTTACACAGAAAATTTTTAAAGCATTGAAACAGCAGCAGTGAAAACAATTTTGAGTTATTCTGTAAAAAAAAATACATATAAATGTGGAATCTTTAAAAGAATTTTTCCATATTTTACTATTCTGAAACCTATTTTGAAAAAAATAAATAATTGCAGTGGCTTGTATAAAATTTCCACCATTGATATGAACACTTTTCAGACATAAGAATCGAAATTATAATTTTTCTACGGAATCCATGCTTTCGATCAACCACTGAAATGTACTTATTAACTTAATAATTCGAACATATTTGATGTGAGGTAATAAAAATAATTGTTGAAAAGACGAACATTTTGGTAAACAATTTGAATGAGAAATATTTGTAAGATGATTGGAATATTGATTTAAAGTTGTACCAAATATTATTCGTGAACCATTGCCTTTGCCATTTTCAACACATTGTTATAACTACATTTACATACATTGCTTAAACTTTATGTTATTTGTTTAAAATTAAGCAGATTTTTTGTCCTTAAATTTGAATTTTATGTTACGACTACTTATTTACGATATCTACTGTTTTGTTACCCGGAAACACCTGTGCTATTTGTGTGAGAGCTCCACGTCAAATTGATATAGGAGTGCATCTTTACACAAGAAAATTTGCCTCTTTTCTGCCTCAAAATTCTGTCAATAAAAAAAAAAACAACAACAACAACAGCTGAAAATTGTGTCAAAGTCTTCACTTTGGTCGAAAACAAATACAATAAATTATTTAAATGCAACTTGGTGCTGCTATGGCCCAAATTAAAATTTCATAAACTAGAGTACAATACAAAAGGAAACCCTTAATGCCACTCGCAATTTGGCCGGAACACTACAGCACTCCTGTTTCAGCTAAGACTCAACAGCTTCGCGTAGGCGCCACTTGAGCCCATTCCTACTTTGGAACAGGTCGAAATCCTTTGTGTCAGCGAGCAGGTGTCGTCATGGCAACAACACATGAGGCACTTGAGTCTGGAGAGCAGCAAAGTTGCCTTTGCTGTGGCACTGGTGCTTCGGGTGTGTGGCATGTGGGCACAGGCGAGTCAATTGTCAGCTAACAACGCCACCGAAAGCAACTCAATCGGTAAGCAAACAAGCCCACAAGCACACACAGACACACACACACACATACACAGAGAGAGAGTGAAGGAGACACACACATTCGCATATACAGAACAGAACACTCAGACAATAGTAGGCATAGGGCTGGCATTTCTTTTGCTGTGCTGCTTTCTTCTACAACATTTTTGTGTGGCCCTTTTTTATGGCTTGAGAGGCCGAGCAAGACGCTGAAAAGTTTATATTAAATGAAAAACTTTTTCAATTACATCAACGGAAATAAAATGCTGCCAGCTTGCCACTCGAGGCACGCATAGGCCCGACTGCACGGCCAGCGATGATGAAGAAGGACAAGATGAAGGAGTCTCTCCTAACAACTGCAAAAAAACACAACACAATAACAACTGGCAAAGCTGAAGTCAGAGCCATGGCCAGGAGCCCTTTGTTTATCGTCGCGTCTTTGTTTTTCGGCTTTATTAGGTTGGGCTGCCTCAGCCCTTATTTCATTTTTTCTTTATACCCTTGCAGTGGGTCAGGCAACTTTATCAAAAAGTTTGCCGGCACAAATATTTTGTTGTGACAGAGGGGTTACAAAACATGCAATTTCATTCGATTTCCATTTCCATTTCGAAGCCAGCAAGTTTTTCTTTTGAGCTGATGAAAGCCTGTCCTAATTTTTGATAAGAAAAAAGAAAGAATTATATAAAAATAATTTGACTAAAAATATGTTAATATTAATTATGCTTCTCATAAATTATATATACTAAATAAGAATTGTATTGATTTGTATAGAAATTGCTTTGTTAGTGCGAAATAATATCTTATTTAAAGTCATATTTTCTTCCAATATAAATTAAATTACCATCAACTTAATAAACATATAATTTAATACAGTGAAAATAATGCCTATTAACTCCTGCTGCTTAATGCTCTCTCTTCCTTAGTAGAGTATTTGCTGCAAGGGCATTCTAAATTCGGCGCGCTAAGAATTTTGGGCATTTCTTGCACTGTTTAACTAAGTTTTGTTTTGGTTGTGTTTACTTCAGCTTGCTTGTTGTTTGGCAACTGCAACAAAAGGATACGGATACGGATACAGCGACAAACTAAATCTATTTATGTTCGAGTATGTGTGTCATCAGTGGACCTGTTTACAGAGCCACTGAGTCATCTAAGGCAGCATCCTGGCCGTCGGCGCCACCGCGCTGTCAAATGTCGCTCGTCTCCTGGCCATCGCCCACATAACCCTCATCCGGACTGTCCGCAAGCGGACCATTCAGCTGCTTCAGCTTGGCTGTATCCGCTGACTCCGTCTCCGACGACCCCGCCTGCTTCTCACCCTCCGCCATGGCGGCATTTGAGCCACTGGGCGAAGTCTCGCTCTCATCCAGCTCGGGTATGGTTGCGTGGCTGCTGCTCTCGTCCAGCGTGGGTGCAGGTGTTGCTACAGCAGCCGCTGCTGCGGATGCCATTGCTTGCGTTGGCGATTGACTGATGCCGTAGCGCAGTGGCTGCGCATGATAGCCAGGCAGACAGCTGGGCCACTGTTGGAACGTTGGCAGTGCGAGATCGCTGCTCTTGTAACCCTCGGGCGGCGAGGGAAATTGTTGTTGCAGCTGCAACTGTTTCTGTTGCTGCTGCTGTTGCTGTTGATGTTGCTGTGGGTAACCCTCGGCTGTGAAGCGTACATTCGGCAACTGATACTTCTCATAGCCGACCGGGGGCGCCCGTTGCACAAACTCCGCCTCGAGGCTATAACGCAGACTGGCATTCTGTAGCTGCTGCTGCTGCTGTTGCTGCTGCTGTTGATGATGTGGCTGCTGCTGCTGCTGCTGCAATTGTTGCTGTTGGTGCTGCTTGTGGGCACGATTGTGTGGCAGCGTGCGGTAAAAATTCTGTTGCTGCTGGTGCTGCTGCGGCGCTGCTGCTGCTGCCACCTGCTGCACCAGATGTGCACTGCTGTAGTCGTAAGCGTAGCCATCCTGTCCCAAAAAGCAAACCGGATTCAAATGCACATCCACCTGATGCGGCGATGGTGCTCCTGCTGCTGCCGCCGCTGCTGCTGCTGAGGTCAGCACCGACTTGAGATGCATGCCACGCGGCAGTGTGGTCATTGCAGCCGCAAACCGCGAGCCCATGCCGAGCATGCTGTGTGGCGTGGCCGCAGTCAGCTGATAGCATCCATCATACTGACCACAATCGCTGGCTGTCTCATAGTCCGCAGCGCCGTCCAGCGAGACGGCCGTCTTCAGTTTGTGTTTGACGCTTTCCGCATCGTTAACCAAATCCGGATTCTTTTCAGCGTAATTACGTAGAGATGCTGGTGGCGAGCAGTACGCAGCAGCCAAGCCATTGCTCAGCAGCATCGGCGGGGAACCGGCAGCAGCTGCTGCAGCTGCAGCAGCATTCATCATATTCACATTCAGCTGCAATTGTTGCTGCTGCTGATGTTGCTGCTGTGGCGTTGGCGTAGCGTACAGCAGCAGATTCTGTTTCATCTGGCCGCCGAGGAGGAGACCGCCAGCGCTACCGACGCCAACGCTGCCACCCGCCGCTCCATTGCCCGCCTTGGTGGGCGTCAGATTATCGCCGAGCAGCAATCCTGATCCGCCATTCAAGCTGTCATTGCCGTCGTTGAGTATCGAGGCGCACTTCATCATACCGTTGTCCTGACTGCTGCCATTTGTCGAGTCACTGGCACCCGCAATGCTCGTGACTTGGTCACATTTCTTACGCTTGGCGGGCTCATTGTTATTGCTGGTCCTTTTGCACTTGACCACAATGGTGCAGAGGAGGACGGCAAAGATAATCCCACCACCGGCGCTGCTGGCCACAATGTAGTTCATGTAGTCGCGTGGAAAGGACACCTCATTCACCACCGGCGGCTCCTTGATAATCACACGCAGCGTATAATTGCTAAATGTGGTGCCTGCAATGTTTTGGCCCACACACGAAAAGGTTCCATTATCCTCGGCGCCCACATTATAGATGAATATTTCACTGCGCTTCTCCTCGGCTCCACTGCCGCCGCTCTCGTCAATGTAGTAGTACATATGTAGATTATCCATCAGACTATCGTTGCTCATCACCTGGCCATTGAACAGCCAGAGGACCTTCGGTTCCGGTATGGCACGAACCAAACACGTGATGGACATATTTCGACCCTCGCTGACCTCCGTATAGCTCGACTGTGGACTGACCTCGGGCAGACAGGCAAGCTGCTGGCGCTGAAGTCCCTTAATCACCTGACCCTTCAGCCGGGACGGCTCCATGCACTTGGGCTCCTCGGCCAGGGGCGTATTGTGGCTAACCAGCCAGCTGTAGACATCCAGCAGACGACAGTCGCAATTCCAGCGATTGCTGTGCAAACTAATGCCGTGCAAGGACTTTGGCAGTATGTGAGCTCCTTGGATAAAGGCAATGCGGTTGCCATCGAGACGCAGCCACTCCAGATTGTCCATGCCGACAAAAGCCTCATTCTCGATGCGCTCCACCTGGCAGTTGGACAGCTCCAAAGTGGTCAAAAAGGATAAATGCCTGAAGGCCGATGTCTTCAGCTCACGTATGGGATTCCCGCTGAGGGTGAGGCGCATCAGTGAGCTATAGTCCTGGAACGTCTCGCTTGGTACATGCTGCAGCGCATTCTCGCTGAGATCGAGCTCAACGAGATTGGTCAGTCCACGAAAGGCCTTCTCGTGAATGCGTATGAGTTGATTGCGCGACAAATAGATCTTCTGCAGATTGAGCAGATCCATGCGGAGGAAACGCTCGCTCTGCAGCACTTGCAGTCCATTGCCGCTAAAGTTGAGCACCTGTGTGCCCGGATCCATGCCCTCCGGCAGACTGGAGAGCTGCTGTCCGCCGCATTCGACTGTCTGCTTGCCGCCCTTCCATTTGCACACACACACCTCGGGTGGGCATGCGAGGATGCACTGCAGCAGCAGCACAAGTGGCAGCAGCAATTTTAATAGACGTGGCATTGTGTTGTAATATTTCCTGTTGTATCTATCTCAGTGTTGGGTGTCTCTCACTCTCTCTCTCTCTCTCTCTGTTTCTCTGTCTGTCTCTTGATTTTGTCTTATTTTTAAAGCTTGTGCGACACTTGGTCACGTTTGCATGTCAAATTAGTAAATGAAGGTGACGTTTTTAGAGCTCCACTTCCGCGTCACGCAAATATCATTAGCGACATCTAGCGAGGCGGTAGTCTCCCGTCATATATAAAGCCTGATCTCGACCAGCTTTAGCTTTAGCAACAGCGTCAGTTTCTCGAATTGGCTCCGAATCACGTCGTCCTTTTGCCTACTCGAGTGTCAGGCAATAAAAGTGCTGCCACGCCCACTGCTGGGCGGCCATTATTATCCACAGTGCGAGAGCGAGTGCGAATGCGATAGCGAGTGCTCATCATTGTGTCCACGTCGTTGCTGTCATTGCTGATGCTCTACTCCCCCTCACCGCCCTCCGCTTCGGGCGTTGTCGTCGTCCTCGTCGTCGTCGTCGTCGTACTTTGTATTAATTTCATAAAAATGCCAGTCGCTTGATTTTTGCTTGGCAGCGCTTGTAAGTAGGCAATGCTTTTGTTATTGTCGCCTCCTGGGTCCTTGCGGCTTTTACTCAACTTTACTCAACCCGACTCGACTGGATTCTACTTTGGGCCTACTCCTCGCCTGCTTGCTGTCTTTCTTTCTTTGCTAGCCCCTTCACGTTGTTCTCGTCGTTGGCTGAAAAGGTTTTGGTCCTTAATGAAATTATAACGCAATTCATTTGTTGTTGTTGCTGTTGCTGTTGCTGTCGCTGTTTCTGCTGCTTGCGTCGCTCCCTTGCCGCATATTTGGCATTGTGTATGCGACACGTGTACAGATTTTTGTTGTTTGCTGTTGTTTTTGCTTTCGTTGGTATATTGCTTGCTGCTGGCTTTGCCTTTAACCGCTGCAAAAAGAAATGCAAGAAGAGAAAATAAGTGATTAGTCACGAATTACTTTTTTTTAATATTGCTTTAAAAACTAGCATAAACCAATAAATTTATATCACAGTTTTTGGCAAACAATTATTTCTTAATTGATTATTTAAAATCGATTTTAATCGAGATATAATATATAATAGAGAGCTTCACCGAAAATTAATTAATACAAATTTCAACCAGATTGGCATAAATTATAGCTTGCGGATACATAAAAATACCCTAATTATAGTTGATTGGAGTCCAATGCCTGATAACTAATATATAACACTGTTTATCTAAACATAACATAAAATTCGCCGATTTTATTTTCAAAATATTTCTGTGTTATTCAATTTTAAATTGAACACAAGCGCAGTAAATTACGATAAATATACGAGCAGGTGATTTATTTTTAATAACTTTTTCATTCAGATGTCATATATATCAACGCCAACACTGGTTCATAAATGTGCTTTCCTTTCGGTTATTCTGGCCGCGTATTTTTATGGCGGATCAATTCCAACTTAAAAATGAAATGGAAAACATGAACAATGCGATTTTTTTGGTTTATTCCTACGTCAATATGCAAATGCAAATGCAATCGCAGCTGGAAAAATAACCAATGCCACGTAATTTGCTCCATATAATTGCACTTGGTGTTTTGGTTAATGCTGAAGAGGATAAAAGATACACATCTGTATTGTCTGGGTTTATTATTTCTGATTGTGCTCATTACTTGGTCATTAAATGATTTCAAATACGGTATTTGCTATGTGTACACAGCTGGGGACTGGCCATTAAATTATCTTGTCCTTGGCAGGACGACAACACTAGGCTGACATTAATATTTGTCCAAATTAATCAATTGGCATTAAAATGCTACAAGACAAAGGACAAAGGAAATGACAGGCAAGCGGCAAAGCAAACCAAAATGTAAATAAGTAAAAGGAAGCCCAGACAATCGACGGAAGATGGCAGCTATAAATCATGCAACATATTGCACTGTATACCCACTTTGGGTAAATAACACATAAATTACCCTGAAACTGAGCAAAGTGCAAGCGGCCCAAAATACAGCCCGAAGACGCCAAAATGAATTGGTCGCAAAAAAGCGTCTCTCTAAGGGAACGCAGCAATTGTTTAATTCGATCCGGTGAAAAAACGAGACCAGACAAAGATTCCAGCAAGCTGCGCGCTTCATTAGCTTCTTCCTAACTAACTAACTGACTAACTGACTGACTGACTGACTGGCTGACTGACTGACAAACTCGCATTTTACTTGTGTGATGCGAACCGGCTGGCGCCAATGCAAATGCGTAATGGATACTTGGCTATGCCATCATTGTGTTGTCTAACAAATTGACTTGATTTGCTTTTGCCATGGCAGCCGGGGCCGCTCAGTGTTATTCTCGACTACCACCTGAACGGAACCTGAATTTTCGGCGTTATTAATAACATGACATTAATCTTGGCCATTTCTTGTCTATAACGCAGCTGGCATGGTCTTTTAGCCAAATGCTTAGCGCTAAGCTTGAAATTGTGGCTGAGATTCTCATTCAGCTAAACAGGTAAACGTGGTTTGGTTTATTTATTGTTGCCAACGTTGTAAGATATTCATGAACTGTATAATTAATGAGATATTATTGTATATCAGAGTGTTGCCCGCACGCACATCTATAGTAATTACACGAAACCATTTAGGAACAATTGTAATCGGAGGAGTACTTGTAAAATCACACCAGCTTGTTATTTAACTGGTGAAAAGAACATTGAATGCTCTTAATTTTGTGTAAAGATTTAAACGACTTAACTTTTGTTTGTATGCCATAGATAACAAAATATTACTATATTTTGTGCATATGTATAAATGTTGGTAAGTATTTTTCGAATAAATAAAATTAAAAATACAGACGACAGAAACAATTTGCCAAAAGAATTAGTACATAAATTGAAAAGGATTTTAATAAAATAAGAGATTGCAGCTAACGAGTCAATTGACTATCAATATATGATCCGTAATTACAGTTCATAAGCGGACTCAAGCAGAGCGCTTTAAACTTGCAGAAATTCGCAAAGCACTTTATTGAAAATAGGAAAATGCACAAGTTTTGCTGGCAGTTATGGTAAAGGCAAATTCGATTCGCAATACACATACAGGACATTTTAGAATTGCGCAAACAAATTCTAATTTAATTTGTAGATGGTAGAAATACAAGACATTTCTCATTTGGTTGCCTTGACAGCAGTTTACAAACATTTTTGACATTTTCATTTGTCAGTTATGAAGCAGACGAATTCACACAGAAATACATATATAGGACTTGGACACAGAAGTATGCGTGGTTGGATGTATGAGTGCGAGCGTGTGTGCTTGTATGCTCATGTGTGTTTTATCCTTATCACAAAATGATTTGACAGTCAAGAGCAACCGGCAATTGAACTTGCCTCCATCTGTTTACGTGTGTGTGTGTGTGTGTGTGTGTGAGCATCTGTGTATATCTTAGAGATGTCTTGTATGCTGTGTTATTTAATGGCAACTGAATGAGGCGGATGTCGAGTAAAGCCATCGGCAAATCGTAGAGATTTGTACCTTTCACTCAGCTAGCAAAATGTCACACGAGGCAAGTAAAACTTTTCTCTCTAATAAATAAACATTTATTTTATTTCATTTTATTTTATTTTATATCTTGGTATCTATGTGCTATGCATTGGCACGTCTTCCATTCTGCTGTCATTGAAAATAATTGCAATTTTATTTGGGCTCGGCAAATCAATAGACATTCGCACCAAATTGATATTTCACACAAAAAGGCATAAGTAATTTTCTTCATTTTCTTTTTCATTTTTATTTTTTATTAGGCGTTAATAGTCAACGCTTTTTGCTTATACCCGGCGTATGCGTAATGCATAATAAAATGTTGAAGGCGCAACAGCGACACGTGGCACGACTTTGTCCTCACATTTTGTGGCTGTACTTAATTTACTTTTTATTTCAAATCTGCACTGGGGGCGGTGATGACGGAAACCTCCAACGCCTCTAATTTAAGCACTTAATTTGGCGCCTTTCTCATTTCGGTGGAAGAGCGCTTAAGTAACGCTCACTTCTTGTGGCTTTTATAGATTTTCGAGTCGCACAACCAGCTAAAGTGCCTGCTAATACTCTTAAACTTAATTAAAAACTTATCAACAGCTGCGTCAAACAATTTGGCTGGGAGTGTACAGCCGTTGGGAAAGACAACCAAACCAAACCAAGCCAAACCAAACCAAACCAAAGACAACCAACAGCGACAACTTGAGACGACCACAGTAGAGAAACAGTAGAGGCTTATTGGCTCTGCAGACACTGTGAAACCATCACGGAAAACTACTGCCAGCTGTATATTTCTATTGCAACCCAAACGTAAACTAAGCTGCTGCTAAAACCGCCACTGACTTCAAGTTCTATGTAAATTGTACACAAAATGTGAAATAATGAACAAACAACAAATACATTTTCAAGATAATCTCTTTTTTGAACACATATTTATTAATTCGATCTTTAGATATAACAAAAAAACAATTTTTAAATTGAAAATGATGTTAGCTGTTTTTGACCTTGGCCGGAATTTGGAAAAACTTTACATTTCATTTAAGTGCAGCGCAGAGACTTAAAATGAATTTTGAATTGCACACATATGAGCTCAATTAAAGTAATTTTGGTGTGTCGTGTGGCAACTTCAAAGTGCCGTTGCAAACATGTCATAACATGTGAAAATTAAAATGTACATGACAGCTTAAACAACGTTCTGGCGCCGACATTCATAAGGCGCCGCCCATTGACCTCTCCGTCTCTCACTGCCGCCACATTCACGCAAACGTATTCTGGCAGGAGCTGAGAGCACTTAATTTGGCATGTTGCCTGCTGTGCTGGCCCTGTCCAAGGTAGCGTGACAACAAAACAGCAACGGCAAAAGCACAAATAACCGCAGGTGCAGCCACAGTGGCGGCAGGACAACTAGCAGGACAACCACAACGAGTGCCACTTTGTAGCGTGCATAAATTTTTTACTACCTTAAAAAAAAGCGCAGCAATGCCCATAAAACTTCTACTCATAGTACCTGCCACGAAATGTGAGCATAGCAACCGACTACTGGTGACAGCAACAACAACACTGAAAAAAATAGCGCGGCGGTGGCAAATAAAATTACGCATGCAATGGCAAAATAATAAAATATGCATAAAAAATAAGCTGCTGCAGAATCCGGCTCAAATGCAAAAGCAAATAAGAAAAATTGAAAGCGCTTTTCAACAGACTGCGCAATGCTCTGTACAAAATTCTCCACAATTTTATAGAATTAAAAACCAAAATGTACACAGTATTTTAAATCCAATTATTTATAATAAGCAAATTTGTTGTGAAAATATACAAAATTGGCTTAATCCAGTTAACCCAAGCACGGCATGCTAATTTACTCAACAGATTGATATTAAATTTCTCATGGAGGTTTCTTTTATTGACTTTATTGACTTCATTGTTACATAATTACAATTTAGTCAAAGACGAACCGCTTAACCGACACCTTTTCACAGGGTATTAACACAAAACGGCGACGTAAATAAAATGCCACGTTTCGCGTTCGTTTTATGTTAATTTCTGCCCACTGCACACAAATATGAATTTATATGCGTTGCGTAACAAACATTTCCACAAAGTGCAAATATGGCGCGATTTCACTTAAAAGATGTTTACATCGCTGGGCTGCAGCTGTTTGGGAGCTTTAAGCGACCCGCATCTGCTTAAAAGAAATCAGCTAATTTTCATTTAATGCTGTGCGAAAGTAAAAAACAACAACAACAACAACAACAAAACACAGATGAAAGAATGAAAATCCAAAGAGAGTGCAGCTCAGAAATATATATGTAAATACGCTTTACTTGGAAGTGTCAGACAGGCGCACGTGCGGACGGACAGTCGGGGAGAGCCTCTAAAATTTTAATAGCTCACACA